TTCTATGTCTATTTGGGTCTGCATATAGAAAAAAGAAGAAAAAAAAAAAAGTGCTTTTCTTTCGCCGCGCCTCTCCTCTGTCTCTCTCTTCCTCTTTCCCCTATTCCTCTTTCACTTCTACGCACCACAGTGCTACTATTAACGCCGTCCGGGAGTCGTGCATGTATATACGTTCAATTATTCAGCAAGAAAAAGAAAGAGAGAAATCGAGATTCAGTAGTACTATTCTCTTTTCTGTTGCTCAGTATATGATAGACAAAGAGTAGTTGAACTACTACTACTCTAAGAAGAACGCAAACGAGCATACGCAATTGATTCTCCTTTTTTTTCTCTCGCTGTAGTTGTTATTCTATGTTGTTATCGTACTCTTTCTGTTTCTTCAATTCGATGTTACGCCTTTTACAGCAGCATGGTTTGCATACGATATATTTAATGATGAATTCCAGTAGACCTTCAATGTTCTTTCCTTCCTTCCCATCCATTACTGTCGATGTGTAAAGCATAGAGTAATGATAAAACCCAAAAAAAAAGAGAATAAATGACAATGACTCATATCAATAATAATAATAATAATAATAATAATAACGACAAGCGATAATCCTTTTATTTTTCTTTATATATTTATAATTATTTTTGCCCTAAGTAGTCATATCTATCTGATATGATTTTAAAAGAAGAAAATTGAATAATTATCTTATATACACATACATATATACTTATGAATAAATCCTACAAAGTTATTCTAACGGAAAAAAATAAATTAATATAAGTTTCTTTTTAGCTACTAACAGGAACTGCATGCAAATAATTTCTCTAGAATAATCAATATAAACAGGGTAGAAAAGATAATTTAACGTAGTATAAATGACATTTCGGATATAGAATAATAAAAGGATGTCAAAAATTCAATTTACTCAATATAGACCGATAAATATACAACAACTGTTCCCTTCTCTTCAACTATAGATTGATTCGATTAAACACATCTTTGAACTTATCAATTCACTCGAGAATTATTTGAACCATACACAAGAAACGTTTATCTACTAGTATAATCTTCTATTTACTCACTAATCGGCGAAAAAAAAATTCCATCGAGAATTTAATAGAGACTGACATTCTAATAACTAATATGTTAATATCATAGATTCCCATCTGGTTCCCGAATGAGAAGAAGAAGAAAAATAAAAATAAAAGTATTTCGCTGTGGCTAATCAATACGATGAAACTAAAAAAAAAGAAGCAAACGAGCAAAATAAATAAGAATTTTGCATGAAAATTCAGTGATTATGATGTACACAAAAACTATGTTTATTAATGTTCTATGTTAATTATTCATATATGCATTCGATGTTGACTAATATATAACGATTTTCTGACTCGGAGAAAAAACTAAAAAATATATGAAGACATTCATGTCTTATAATGGATAAGTTCTTATACAATATTAATCAGTATATATAACGATAAGTCATTCACAATGACATTTTCTTGTATAATTTATGAATGATAGTCAGTGCATTTTCTTTCTTTTCATAGAAGTTATTACACAATCTCAATTGAAATACAATATAAAGAAGACATCTAGAGTGAATAGAATTAAGGTCCGAATGTATTGGTTATCTAATTGTCAAAGTTAAAAACCCTTCCAATACAAACTCATGACCTTATTTTTTGTTCTCTAATTACTATTCAATAGAAGAGAGAAAAAAAAGTAGCAAACTTCGCAAAATTATTTATAGATTGTCTCATAGGAAATACAGATTTAAGAACAATGGATCGACTTGCTATGTTATTTAAAATTCAATAAGACAAATATAAGATCACTAGAGACTATTGCTTTTGAAAGAACCTTGAAAAATGATTATAATTTTATTTGAATAATATAAAATTATAGGATGTTTTTTTTTATTTGATGTTATGACAAGGCATGTAACTTTATGACGATAATTAAAATCATAGAATTGATATTTTATCTATAGATACTACAAACATTAATTTCCCTTTTGTCATTATTATTCCAGTTCATTAAATAGTAAAATTATTCATGAATTTCTAATCACTATTTTACAAACATTATAAATGAAGAAAAATATTGTATAGACTGTATTCGTTTGTGCCAGTATAAAAGAGCTTAAGTTAGGATTAGACCATCTGTTGATGAATATTTGATTTTTCTTTCTTGTATTTAGGCGCTTTTGAATTGTCTGAAAAGGAAGAGATACTCGTACGATATGAGGAATTTTAGACGATCAATAATGATTACGTTCTTTCCGTAATTAAGTCTTGAACACTAAAAAAAGAATAAATCGACAAAATATTAAAATGTTTATAACTAAGAAGTCTAATCAACTTCGTTTATATTTTGACCAAGTACTAATTAAACACCTTTGTTTGTCAAAAATGACAGCTGGCTGTATAGTATAGAGTACAATACTTATTTCCTCTTGTTCAAATGAAAGTCTGCATAAGTACATGACATCTAATCAATTTTTTAACGAAAGAATTAGATATATAAAACTTAAAGATTTATTGTATATGCTTTCAAGTACTTGAACATGGAAGTATTTGAACTCTAATAAATAGAAGTGTTATGTCTTGATATAATTATAGAATTTTACTTTCAAGTCAACTTAGTTATTATAACACTTGATAAATAACAATAAGAATATAATTGTCTTCAAACGTAAATGTACTATATTATCATTATTTTTAATGATATATTATCAAAAGAATTAAATTCATTTTTCGTGCTTATCCACTATTTCTTTTTTTCATTTGTTTTGTTTTTTGTGTAGTTTCAGTATGTTCATAAGAGGAACAAAGAAAAACGAGAAAAAAAATAGATACACAATACAAGGAAGTAACCAAAAGCGATGCATTAACATGCGACAACACAGAAAAAGAAAGAACAAAAAGAAGCATCATCAGCGACAATAATTGTACTCACATAGGAAGACGAAGAAGAAGAAGAAGAAAAAAGAAGCAAGAGAGAAGCAACGAAAAGAAAAAAACAATGAGAGCAAAAAAAAGAGCAACAATTACAAAATAAACGGTTGTTGTTTTTTTTTATATATATGTGACAATGCACGTCGTACGGAACGTTTGTTTATTGAGAACACGAGAAAGTAAATAAACATCACTCACACACACACAGACATATATATGTATATATGTATATATAACAAAACAAAAACAATTAGTCTATGTTGTTAAGAACAGAGATCAAATGCAAAAATAAGAACAAAACAAAAAAAAAAAGACATAAGGGAAAAAAGAAATGTATATTATGTATTCATACCAAATGTCTCACTATGGCAAATAAGAAAACAACAAATTCTTGATTAATCAAGGCGTAGGAGAAGAAAATAAACCGGTCTTATTCTTGTTTGCAAATTAAAAAAAAACAAAACAAAAAAAAGAGTATTGAAGGAGATAGATTAATCATCGGAATTATCATCATCCGACATTGAACCAATCATTTCAAATCGAAGAAGATCTCGTAGATCGATGTAAGGTAATGCACGACGATGTAATGCCGACATTAATGCTGCCGATGTATTGTCTGTCTAATATTAAGAAATAAAATTATTTAGAGACAGCATGTATTTATTCAGAAAGAAAACAGAAAGTTTAAACACACTCTCGATTGGTTAAATAAACATGTGCGGTTTTCATTTGAGTCATAAAAATACTTACTTTGCGTAGAAGTTTAATTTGTTTTTCATATTCTTCTTTATCTTTATCTGTAATTTCATAATTGATTTCATCATATTCTTTCCAACCCATACGTATTAATAATCTAAATTCGAAAAACAATTTCTTTAAAAGAAAAAGAAATTCATTTGCACTCAACTCTTTTTCTTCTGGTGTTTCAGGTACAGATAATAGAAGTAAAGTTGCTTTTGATGTTTTTAAATTTTTATCTGAATTTGTTATTATTGGTGTTGATGTTTTTATTGTTTGATTATATTGACGTTTAGTACCATTTTTATTTTCATCGTTTGTCGAATCATTTTTTAATGAATTAAAAAAATCACTACGTTTATCTAAATTTTTTGTTTGTGTTATACAATTTGTTTGAAGCTCAAGTGTTATTGAACGATTTGCTGTTGTTGTTGTTGATGGCGATGATGATGATGAGGATGGTGATGTACCATTTAATCCATTTGGTGTACTGAGTAAACGATCTTTACGTGTTGTTGATATACGATTTGATCCTAATAATGTACGAGAATTATTCGATAATGAACGATCAAGAAATTTATATGGTTCATTATGAGATGTACGAAATTTTGAAGCAGCATTATTCCATATAGATGAAGAACGATCATTAGATGATGAGTCATGTTTTTCACGACCATTTAATGAAGGCTAAAGAAAAATTATGAATAAAAAAAGAAACAAACAAACTATTCAATTATTTACAAAGTCTTGTTCAAGACGATCGAAACCCGATGAATCATTGATTTGTTCATAATCATTTGTTTTTATTGTCATATCAGAATTTCCATAGAGTTTTTCACGATCACCATTGGATGTACGATCTAAGAAATTTCCATTTGTGGAATTATGACGAGTAGTTGATGGTGGACGATCATTTGAATAGGATGAGACGGAATGTAAACGACGTTGAGAATTATTTATTGAACGATATCCATTATAGGATTCATTACCATTAGATTCAGAATTCTACGAATAAATAAAATTATTCGATTAAAAATTTAATCCTTCTTACTTTAGTAAATGAATTTGGTACACGTTCTCGACTGTATGATCTTCGAGATTGTGTATGTGTTGAAGAAAATGAAAAGAAATTTTCTGATTGTCCATCAAAACCATTTGATGATTGTTGTTCAATAGGTCTATTTCTACATTGTCCTAAATATTACACACAAAAACGAAATAATAAATTAGTTTTTTTTGTTAAATATTTTATTATAGATATATATTTATCACAAGACGACAACGACAATTTTACCAATTGTTTTATAATAATAAAATGGTGAATGTCGAGTCGTCCTATGATCAACTATATCCGATGAATGATGTCTTTGCCGACCTGTTATTATAGGTGGGGATGATGAAGTTGAATTTGTTTCACCTCGATGTGATGATGTTTGTGATTGACGATTATTGCTATTTGATCGATCAAGATTTAATTTTTGGTTACCATTTGTTTTCTAATTGATTTAAGAAAATAAAACAATGAAACATAGAAAAAATAAAATATTTCATACATCTGAACTTTGAATTTTCATCCATGCTGGCACAAAGCCACTTTTGGCCATCACATTGCGGCGAAAAGTAATTTTACTTCGATGAAAAATACATTTGATACAGTTTGTTTTTTATTCGAATATATAATTTAAAATAAATATTATTTCTGGTTAGAGATACCAGTTTTTATAATAGAATTAAATAGTTCATTAATAAAATATGATTTTTGTCTTCTTAGAATATTTTTGTTGTTGTTATTTTTTTTATTTAAGAAAATAAAATTAAGAAGTTATTAAAAAGCATTTTGAATGAGTCATCTAGAAAAATAGAATGAAAATTTACAAAAAAAACGAATTTTTTCTTTTTCATCAAGCACATTTATTTCTTTTTTTTTGTACATTATTTATGGATGAAGAACTCGCAAATGGTACAGTCAATGAATTTTTATGGTT